ATTGATTATCTCGTATCCTTTCCCAATTAACTTTAAAACTTCTTAATTTGTTCTATTACAATTAATGCCTTATTTTTTGCCTCGATCATAATATTAATATGCACGTATATAACTAAATTTATTTATTAAATATTTTTGTATGGTTTAGCTTCAAGAACAGTTACCTGAAATGATTAGTGGTGTCTTCTCTGAAAATGTGGAAGAACAATTGCAAGCAACTACAAAATTTAGAAAATTGCTTTCGAAAGAAAGAAATCCTCCAATAGAACAAGTCATTGAATGTGGCGTGGTTGCTCGTTTTGTCGATTTCTTAAGGTCTCCTCATTCTCTTGTACAAGTAAGCATTTTTTTTATAAAGATTTATTTGTATGGTTTGTATTTAGAAATTAAAAGATATACAACATACATGTTAATTTTTAATATATATATTACTATTATTTATTTAGTTTGAGGCTGCATGGGCTTTAACCAATATTGCATCAGGATCTTCCGAACAAACTCAAGTAGTAATTGATTCTGGAGCTGTACCAATCTTTGTTGAATTATTAAGTAGCAATGTAGCTGATGTTAAGGAACAGGTTAAAGTTTATTTTATTAAATTTTTGTAAAAGATTTTCGAATTAATTTACATACATACATATATATATTTAACACACATTTATATATTAATTAATACATAAATATCTTTTTAGGCTGTTTGGGCTTTAGGTAATATTGCAGGAGATAGTCCACCTTGCCGTGATATTGTATTAAAAGAAGGTGCCCTTCGACCTTTACTTTCTATATTGAATGAAAATAATAAAATATCAATGATGAGAAATGCAACCTGGACATTGTCTAACTTTTGTCGAGGCAAAAATCCTCAACCTGATTGGAATTTGGTATTAATTTTTTTTGGTTAATTGATTAATTTGTAAATTAATCATAATAAAAATATTTTTTCCTCTTAGATCGTCCCTGCATTACCAGTTCTTGCCAAACTTATCTATTCTGTTGATGATGAAGTTCTTATTGATGCATGTTGGGCAATTTCATATTTGTCTGATGGTAGTAATGAAAAGATCCAAGCCGTCATTGAATCTGGTGTCTGTCGTAGACTTGTTGAACTTTTAATGTAAGTTTTATCATTACTACCACCACTATTATATTTATTCATTAGTATATCATATAATCATCAAATACTAAATGTGTTTTAAAAATATTTATTTCAGGCACTCTTCTACTTCTGTTCAAACGCCCGCTTTACGTTCAGTTGGAAATATTGTTACAGGCGATGATATTCAAA